ACCTAAAGCTAGCGGGGAGCGACCGCAGGAGTGACAGCAGGAACGAAGCTGCTGCATCAGAGGGCTGAGGGGGAGCCTGTTTATGGCCAGGTCCCACTTTAGCATAACCACAGCTGCTATTAAGACCCTCAGCTACGCCATCAGTGGCTCTGGACTTAGCATAATGACTGAGCTCTGCCTTCTCATCGGAGGAGAGAAGAGCAGCGTGGAAACCGGAGGGGTAAAGTTTCAGCTGCCGCCAAGCGTCCCAGAGCAGAGCACACTCCCAGAATAGCACGCCCGGTTCCCGGCAGCCTTGGGCTGCTCCGCAGCTGGGCTTCCGCTGAGGGAGAGTCAAACCCCAAGCAGTGCAGGGAACAGCTGGGACTGGACACCGCCCAGAAGCCAGCTGGCTGGCCCTGCCCTGCTGGAGGCGCCATCGCTGGTGAGTGCGGGCATGTCTGGCTCTCCCCCCATCACCTTGGGATCCTGGCTCAGCTCAAGAGTCAGGGACACCCTCAAACCCTAGGCAAGGGGGCGGGTCTCCTGAATGCTGTGCAGTGAACCACGTTGGCATCTGGCAAGGGGGGTGGAGGGCTGAGTGGCCTTGAAGGCAGGGCAGGCTACATGTGCACAGAGAGGGTGTGACCATAGGGGCCAGTGGCTGGAGGAGGGGGCAGAGAGGGAGACACAGCTGTGCCACGGGCCGGGCGACTAACTGCCCATCGCAGCGCCATGTTGGGGCGGGCTTCTGAAGGTGAAGGGCTTGCTGGGAGGAAGGTTGGTGGCTGAGAGGGGAGGTTGCCTGCTTGACGCCTGGTCTGCCCTCTTACCAGGGCACTCTCGTGAGGGCCTGTGCTGTGCGGACCCTTCCTTCATCTATTTATTTCCTCACAAATGTTTACTGAGGCCCTACTACGGGCAAGGCACCAAGGGAACACAAAGAGGGATCAGGTACATGTCTTGCTGTCAAAGAGCTTAAGGGGACATAAGGCATGTGCCTAAACAAACATCGATAAGGCAGGAAATGTACCCTAGCTGGTGTAGCTCAGTGGGTTGAACGCCGGCCTGCAAACTGAAAGGTCACGGGTTTGATTCCTGGTCAGGGCACATGCCTGGGTTGTGGGCGAGGCCCCTAGTTGGGGGCAGGCGAGAGGCAACCAATGGATGTTTCTCTAACACGTCAACATTTCTCTCCCTCTCTTTCTCCCTCCCTTCCCCTTTCTCTAAAAAGTAAATAAAATCTTTTTTAAACAAGTCAGGAAACATAAGAGCCGTACCAGAGAATAGAAAGTGCTTCGGGGCATAGCACAGTGACTTGCAAGTCCAATGGCGTTCAAACAAATGGCCTTTAATTCATGGCAAATCACTTGGCCTTTATGAACCTCAGTTTTTAAATCTATAAAATGGAGATAAGAATATTTGCCTTCTTGAGCTCACAGGGTTGTAAAGATCAAGTGTATATGAAAGACACTGGAAATTGCACAGTGCTCTGCAGAGGTAAGCTGTTGTGGGTCTTGCATAATCAGACTAGCCAGCCTTGCTCTGCATGTCTTCGCCTGGGAGTCGGGAGCCAGAGGGAGCCCAGGGTTCAGGACAGCGGCCGGGCCAAGCCTAGACCCTTCCCCTTAGAGAGGGCTGGTAGCCCCTCTCAGTTTCCGGCCAATCGCCCCATGACGCGCACTGCCCACTTTTGTTGTATGAAGCACTATCCTACGGGGGAAGGATGAGCATAACATCCGGAGGCCATTCTCACTGAGCCAATCACGGAGTTGAGGTCCGACCTCTATTCATGAAGCGTAGTCAACAGTGGAAAGCAGTGTTGGGCGGGGCTCTGGGAGCGCAGAGGGGGACAGAGTGCCATGGAGTGGGGTCACCAGCTAAGGCTTCTGGGAGGAGTAGAGGGTTTTAAAGGGCGACTGATTCAGAGAGGCTGAAGGTAGTATGACAGCATGGTTGAGAGTGGGGGCAACGTGAGTGAAGCCACAGGAAGGCAAGTGCGGTGGCCTGACTCAGAGCTGAACTCTCAGGTCGGAGTGGCCACTTCCTGTGGGGAAGAGGAGAGCTGAGGCTGGGGCCCAGGCTGAATGCAGGCTGCAGAGGCTTTGAACACTGGGCCAGGGAGTTTGGTCTTTCACTTAAAGGCGGTGGGGGCCAGTGCAGGTGCTGTGAGCAGAGTGCTGGGCGAAGTCAGAAACGTCCCCCAGCTCCCGGGGGGTTTGCAGGAGTGGAGGTGAGGTAGAAGGTATGCCCACCGCTGAAACGGTCTCAGGTCTGGGGTAAGACTCTACCTGAAGGCAAGGGGGGGCCTAAATGCAGCACTGTTTGCACATTTCGGGGGTTGGGGGAGGGGAAGGGATGGGTAGGCTGAGGGCCTAACCCCTGGACCCTCAGCTTTGACCTTGGTTCCCAGATCCACCCAGTCTGTGGGTGGCGGCTGTCCACATCTGGGCAGCTCTAAAAACCCAGGCTGCTTCTGCCACAGGGGGTTGGTCAGGGTCACCGAGCCGCCGTGGATGTTGAGGGGGAGGGGATGGATGGGCTCAGCATCAGGTGACATTCCAGCAGGCTCTGTCCAAGGCCCACTTCCGGGTACGTTTCCAGAGGAATCATCCATGAGCGGCCGGTTGTGGTAAATGAGTGTTTCACTCGCCTGCCCCCTGCCCCCTGGCTTCCTGCCTCTTAAGGGGCCATCCTAGTACCTGGGTCCTCTTACAAAACCAGGCGGCACCCGCTGCTCTGAGCAGACAGTCCCATGAGCCTGAGAAAAGGACACATAGCCAGACACTGTCACCTGGGCAGTAAGCAGTTAATGAGGGGGTGGGGGAGCAGGGGCAAGCAGAGGGCAAATGCAAAATCTGTTTACCAGGCACCTAGCTGTCAGGGAGCCAAGAGCCCCACCTTCAGCTCAGCAGGGAACTATTTTCACTCCACTGGGCCAAGACCACAAGGCCGGGGGCACTCTACCCCCAGGAAAGGGGGCCTCCTGCTCCCCAGGAGGAAATGGCTCCTGAAAGATTTTGCAAGTGGAACCTGCACTCCAGGACTCCTGCTACCCAGGCAAAAGGGAAGTCCCTGTAGGGAGCTAGCTGCCCTCCAGGCAGGCTCCACCAGGGCCCAGGGAAGGCCCCTGCTCTGGACTCTGAGTGCAGGGCTCTGCCGGCCCCGGGAGGGGGACTTCTCCCGCAGGCAGGGCTCGCCTGCTGCCCAGGAAGGCCTGCTGCCTGCAGGCAGGGCGGCGGCGCTGTCTCCAAGGCCCCTGGTGTGAGGCAGAAGGTCAGCATTGGGCTACCCTCTCCGAGTATCTCAGCTCTTGCTGCCAGTGTTTGGACCACAGAATCATGGGCCTGCCCATATCTTACAGCGAGAGGCGGGGGTGACGTTCTCCCAGTTCTTCAGTAGAGGAAAGCGAGCCTCAGAGCAATGAAGTGACTTGCCCAGGTCACAGAACTGGCAGATGGCAGAGCTGCTCTTGACCCCTGGGCCTTCCGGTACCTTAGACGGCCTCAGGCCAAAGAGGGGAGTCTTCTGATGAATAAAGGTAGTTTCCACAGCCAGCAGGAAGAGGGAGGGAGACAGACACTCCGTGGGACTGCGTCTCAAAGTGACATTGTTTAGTGAAAATGGGAGTTTTTGATGCTTCTGTGCCTGTGGGTTATTGTAAAGGGCGAAGGGCATTCGTGAGCGCAGAAGACCCTATAGCTGGAGTGTTGGGAAGCAACAGCACCTCCCAAAGAACTTCCCTTTGCGCCCCTCCAGGCGTCCTGTGGCCAGCAGCACCCACCACCATGGACTCACGGGGCTGGGGGTGATGCAGGGCTCCCAGGGTCTCCTCCAGTCTCCCACCTGGGACGGAGGAAGCCGAGGGCACCGGGGATCCTGGGACCCAGGTCAGCTGCCCCAGGGCCTTGCTTTGTTTTGAAGGCAGATCACGTTCCAGAGTGAGACAGGGAGAAAAGGGAACAAGCAAACAGTTCTCCGAAAACTGTCCTACATTTCCAGGGCTACCTGCCCTGCAGGGCTGGTGGAGGGCAGAGCTCAGCAGCTGTCCAAGCGACTCCGGGGGCGCCCAGTGGGTGGCCAGGCACCAGGTACTCCGACCTTCGCCCTGCCTGCGCCTAGAGTGCGGGGGAGACTTGCTTCTTGGGAGAGCTCTCTGTGGGTGAAGGAGTGCCCAAGGCTTGAAAGCAAATTGAGACGGATCCACAATCCCTGTGTCTCCATGAGGTCCCTTAGACAGGTCCCAGTCTCCCAGACCACTTCCCCCGCACCTTCCCCGCCTCTGAGTTGGCTTGTCACACATGCTAATTAATGGGCGACCCCTACCCGCACACTGGTAGTCGGCGCTGCGAGCCTCGTTAATGAACAACAGCACTAGGCCAAAGTGATTTACGGGTCTCACTTAGGTCGGACCGCCGCTCACCCTTTCATGGTGGGTACCCTGCCGCCAGGACCTTATTACAAGCTCTGTAACACCCTCGCACGGGGACTGGGTCGGGGGACGTGTCCCGGAGTCGTGGGGTGGGGGGCGGAGTTAAGGTAGGGAGACCAAAGGCATAACTCTGCAGCAAAATCGCGCTCCTCGGCTTCATATTTAAAAGAACTGAAACAATTCAGTCTTCATTTCCCAGGCCAGCCGGCTAGGAGCAAGGCACAGAAAGGGAGGCAGGGTTCTAGAAAAACCGGCGCCCCCCGACCAGCTCCCGCCGCTAAGCCAACATTCCCCCCGGGTGTCCGAAAAGCCGGCGTGCGAGAGGAGGAGCCAGCCCGAGGTTTATCGCTCCGGCGGCTCAGGGTGATTCACCGAGTTAGACTCCTGGTTGTCATAGATTGAGGCACGCAAAACAAACAGCCCGGGAGGTGCCCCTCCTCCCACCTTGCCACCCCCTGGCCCATGACCAGCTGCCACCCGTCCTCCTCCGCTGCGCCCGTCCCCCACCCCCACCCCCACCGGCTCTCCAGGCTGAGCAAACACACCCTGCCATCGGCTGGCTCCCACCGCGCGCCTCTGGCGGTCCCCCAGGCAACTCGGCGTCACGAGAGCCCGCACCCCGGAGACCCGGCGCCCTGCCCTCCCTCCGCGCCCCCGGGGCCCCGGCCAGGCCCAACAACCTCTCCTTTCCCGGTGCGCCGCAGTCCCGCCGGGCCTCCCGCCCTTGCTAACTAGGCCCCGTTGGGCGCCCCGGACAGCGCAGCCCACGTCGCGCGGAGCCCGCAGTCCCGGGGGACGGCAGGCTGCCGGAAAATCTCCTCTTGTTTACTGAGTTGGGAAGGTCCCAGCCTGGATTCGCTTCCTCAGTTCTGCGGTTCCCTTTCTGCTGATTCCTGGGGCCAGAGGGGAAAGGGTGGCGACCCGCTGATCCACCCCGGGGGCTGGGAGTGAACGTGGCGCGTGGAGAGAGTCGAAGGTAACCAAACTCGCGGAAAAGTCCCCTGGCAATGGGAGGGGCAGGACTCGGAGTTAGGACCGAGGGCCCGCAGCGCAAAGACCTCTGGGGCCGGGTTAAATACCGTACCTAGGGGAACCGAAGCGTGAAAGCTAATTAGGACAAGTTGGAACGGGGACCCAGGACGCGGCGAGTGGAGCGCGCGCTCGGAGTTGGCCGCAATCTGGGCTGGTCTCTGGAAACCCAGGCGCGGGTTAGTCGGGTTCGGGGCGATGTTTGCTCACGGTCCCGAGTGGCTCTGAGCTAGGCCCACCGCATTAGGGGTCCGCACAGTGGTGTTCCCACGCACACTTGGTGGCCCGGGTGTTGGGGAAGGACCGCGCAGGCAAGAGGCGGACACTCGGTTTGTGGTGTGTCCACGTGTGCAAGTTCAGGGAGAGGAGGGGAGGGGGCACAGAAGACGTGACAAAGGCGGACTTTGTGTCTGAGTGTGCTTCTCGCTCCAGCCCGGAGCAGCGATCTGTGTCCGGCGGGTGCTTCGCGAGAGAGCCAAGACAAAGGTGACAAAGGCCAGGTGTCCACCACGGAGAGACGCGTCAAAGTGGCCCCCGTGCGAATCCATGCGCGCGCGCGCTGATACGTGCTGGGAGGAGAGCCCGCCTGCGAGGTGCGCTGGGCTGTTCCCAAACCGCTTTCCGGAGAGAAAGCCGAGTCCACAAACTGAGTGCGCGTAAGTGTGCGCGCGCCCGCGCGCGGGGGCGTGGCAGCAAACAGCAACAACCCACTGGCGAGCTCCGCCAGAAACTCTGATCGCCCTCCCCTGCCGGAAAGTGCGACTAGCTGGAGCCTGGAGGAGGTCTGGAGGTGAGTCGGAGGGGGAGGGCTGGGCGGGCTTTGTTACAGTGTAAACCGTTTGCACACACCTGGAGCTGTGGTGGCCGGATCAGCGCCTGAATGGAGGTGATGTCACGGTGATTCAGGGGCCGGCCCACCCTCGCCCAGAGAAAGGAGCCCAGCGCGGGGAGAGGCCAACGTGAGAGCGAGCGACCGAGCTCTGGCCAGCTCAGCCCGGTCCGGGGAGAGGCAGGCCCCGCGCCCCGACCCCGCGCCCGGGCCCAGCCACCAGAGGCCAGGGCTGGGCCTGGCCCCGCGCCCTGCGCCGAGTCCCTCCCACGTCCGCCTGCGCCTCGCCTGGGGCTGGAGTTGGCTCCAAACCCCGCGCCGGAGCCGGCCGGGCGGCGCGTCCCAGGTAAGGACGGCTGCCTTCCCTGTCCGTCCTCCCCTCGGCCGCCCGGAAGAGTCGGCTTGGACTCGCGGGGAGTGGACGAGGGCAGAAAGAACCGGGGGGCGGAGGACGCCGCTCCAACTGTGCTCAGTCTCAGAAACTTTCCTAACCGGACCCTCCTCCAGGGATTGGGGGGTGGGGGAACCCGACGCGGCGACTCCGAGTGAGGGGGTGCGGAGGAGAGCTCCACAACTGGGGTCTCCTAGGCGTGTCCCCTTTAACCCCACCGCCTCTCCGCGAGTCCACCGTCAGTGACGACTTATGGGCCGCTGTCCTTTACGCTGCCCGCTTCGGCGCACGGGGAGGGCAGGTTGCTGTGGCCAGAGGAGGTGGGGGAGAGGCTGGCCGCCCGGCTCCTTCGGTTCCGTAGGAGCGTCGGCGCAGATGCCAGCCGGGGCGGGGGGAGGAGCGAAGAGGGGCGCACTCTCCGTTCCTGCCCGAAGTTTGGGGTTTCGGACGATCAAAGAGCCTCCACTTCTTGCGGCGAGGCCTCTAGATCCCTTCCCTCCTCCCCTGACGCTCAATGGCTTTTCCAGGGCCCTTCCCAGCCCCAGAGGTTGAGTAGCGCCCCTCACCCCCAGGCTCGCGGCTTTACACCCAGGAAAACCCAGCCCCTTAAGAGCTCCACAGCCTGGATCTGAAGCACAGGGGCCAGAAGAGGTGGAAATAGCGCGCTGTGCTCCGGGAGCTCCCCCGCCCCGCTCGGAGCCTTCACGTGTGGCGGGGGGAGGGAGTGCGATGGGGGTGGGGCGCATTCCAGAGTGACACTTCCTGAGCAGAGCCTTGGATGGGGGGACTTCCAAGTTTCAGAATGCTCTGGGACTTCTGGCGCAAAGGCGCGCCTTCGGCGTGCAGGTCTCGGCTGGGGTTCCAGGAAGTGCCCCCAATCCTTTCCCGCTCTCCCTTCCCGCACCCTCCCCCAACCTGGGCACTGAGGTAGCTCCTTACAAGCACTGGCTTCGCAGGTCGGGAGGAAGGAGGAGAGGGATGGGAGCAGGGGAGGCGGCGGGAAGGCTGTCAGTGGGTCCATCCATCTCTCCGGACGGAGTGCTGAGTGGCGGCGCCGGGGAGGAAGGAGGATGCGCTGTGGCATTCCTGGGCGAGCACAGGTGCCTCCCACGGGGAGCCCTCAAGGGCCACGGCCCCCTTGTAGGTAACCTGGCTGTGCTCCGTGTCTCTCCCTACTCCTGGGCCCGGGAGACAGACCGGGCGGCCAGGCGAAGCCCGGGAGCCCTTCTCTGGGTGGCTCGCGGGCCTTTGTGTGGGTTGGGGGAGGGGAAGGAGTTGGTTGTTCTGGGAAAGCAGAGGCCCCCGCCGCCGCATCCTTGCTGGGCGAAGCCAGTCGGGGCTGGCTGGGCCTCGCAGCCGCCGCACTCCCGGGGCCTCTCCGCTCCCGGGAGAGGGACGGAAGGCAGGAGGGGATTCTGGAACTGCATCGCGCTGAGTAGCTGAGCCTGGGGAAAGGCTGGTTTCAGAGGTGATTAAAAATATTTGTATGACTGATTCCAGGGAGGTGAAGCCAAAGGACCCTTTTGTCAGGAAATAATCTGAGGCTGGGGCTGGGCTGCAGCCCTGGTGAGGGGGGATGTAGGGGGGTGGGGGGCGCAGAGGGAGGGCCCTTCGTTGATGCCGCTGATAACCTTAAAGCGGAAGGGGGGACTCCAAAACGAAGGGGGTAGGGTGGGGATGGGGGAAGGGGGCACTGAGTCCGTCTAGTGAATGAGTGTCAAATGCCTAGAGTGTTCGAGGCCCCGCGTTAAATGCTGCAGGGGATGCAGTCTGGTTTGCCGCCCTCCGAGCTCCGAGCCTGGGAGGGGAGACCTGGGCCCAGGGTCTAAGGTTCAGGTCTCGGAAGGCTCAGCCTAGATGTGTAGGCTCCAGGGGCCCACGGGAGTGAGGGTCTGCAGGCAAAGCTGGGTCCATTTCATTGAAGCCCTTGCCCCCTGACAGTCTTAAAAGGGGGCATCAGCTGACTGGCTGAACTTGGACTCCCGGACATCAAACTTTTCTGAGTTTCCTTCACTAAGTCTCCTGCTGGCGTCCGAGGGTCGCTGTCCTAGGCAGTGGACAAGAGCCAGGTCCCATCTGGCCCAGTTTCCCCACCCGAGTCAGTGTATCCTTGTCTCCCCACTCGCCCTTCCATTTACCAGGAAATCGGAGAAACGAGACACAGCAGGACCAGAACAGTTTGTTCTGTCTGGGGCTGGTAGGTTGCAGGGCAGCCCCCTACCTGGATGGTGGAGGAGGGGCAGGTTCCTGTTTCCTTCCTTGGAAGTTCCCGAGTCGCTGGGGCTCCCGGAAGCGAGACTTGAAGGGTGTGGTCCAGGACCTGCAGCAAAGATCGCAGAGAACAGAGGTGAGAGCTGTGTGCCTGGCGGGCACAGGCAGGTGTGGATCTAAGTAAGATGGATCAAGGATGTAAGGGCTGCAGAGCACAGTGGGCCCTGGCTGGTATTTTATAATGAGGTGGCTTTATCAGAGTCGAACTTGTAGCGTAGGCTTAGTATCCTTTCCCCACATCCCACCAGGCCTTAGATTTCATTTTGGGAAGGATCTCTCAAAGCTGCCCACTATGGCTTACCTTTGGTCTCGATCTTTAAACTGGACGAAGGTGTCCTCAATCGATCGATTGCCTGTGCTTTGTGCCAGGTTCAAATCTTGAAGCACAACCCTGCTGATGCCCCGCCTCGGGCAAAAATCGGCCTTCGGGGGCTCCCCATCGCCTTTAGAATAATGCTCCGAACTCCCTCCCTGTCGCCTTTCCAATCTGACTTAAGCTGGCCGCTTAGTTCATTCTCCGTGAACTTGAAGAAAGCCCTCCATGTTGTCTCTTTTGACCCCTCAGGGGAAGAGCTGCTTTTCTCTTGGTTTCTGTAACAACTTCCTCTCTCCCAGAGGTAAAATCTATTGTGTGGCACTGACTTTATTCTTCTTTGTGTACTTTTCTCACGGACCTATCTTAGCCGTCCTGGTAGACTTTTTAAAAAAAATTTTTATAAGAGTTCGTTGAGCCAAACTGATGACATGCTGGGTGGCAAGACCGTAAATGCTCTGTCTCCTATTCGATTTTTAAATACTATACATCAGGGACTGTGTTTGTTCCTCTGTACTTTCCAAAGCTCTGAGAACAACTAGGCCTTGTCCCCCTCAGCGAATAGTAAATATTTGCAGATTGGAATAATTGCCTGTCCTCAACCGGGACTGGAAGAGGCAGGTGGAATGAGAAGTACCAGTCCAGGTGCCGGGAGGCTAAGCCTGGGTCGCCATCCTCAGTGCTCAGTTCCACGTGTCGCAGCTTTACCCCAAGTTCTCGCTGCTGTCCTATGAACCAAAGAGGCCCAAGACGGGGCTGGGAGCTCAGGATCCCCTAGCACGTTATCTGTATATTACCTTCTGGAGGGCTTCGGTATTTCTCCTTCCGCGTTAGCCTTTCTTCCTGACTCTCCTATCGGTCCAACGCTTGTCAGCACAAATGTGTGTCCTTTATTGATCTCCGATTACACAAAGCCCCCTGCAAAAGCTTATGTAAGTCACAGTGTAGGGGAAACATGCTTTTTCATTGGAAGTCAGAAGAAACTGGCTCTGTTACAGGGCCAGGTAGCTAGGAAAACAGTAGTAAAATTCCCATCAGAATGTTAATTTACTAAGAGTTGACGGGTGATCCCTTCCTAAGGTGTAGAAATGTCTAATCACTGTGTTGGACACCTGGAACTAACATAATATTGTATGTCAGCTGTAATTGAAAAATAATTTAATAAAACGAGTTAATGGGAAATGCAAGCTTCATTGAAAGATAAGGAGGTAGCAGAGAAGACTGAGATACCGGAAATATTTCCAAGGGGCATGTAGGATATCTTAAAGGATGTTGAAAATACATCTTTATTATGTCGGTTTCGCTTTTCTTTTTCCTAAGTTAGTAATAGTGTCCTCCCATCTAATTGTGGAGGAGTAGTTTCTATTGACTGAGATTTAGGATTTTTGTTTGCCTATTGGAAACTAAGTAACCAGGGCCCCAGCCAGTGTGGCTCAGTTGGTTGGAGCATGGTAACTGAAAGTTCACAGATTCCATTCCCGGTCAGGGGACCTACCCAGGTTGTGGGTTTGATCCCCAGTTGGGCGCCTACGTGAAGGCCACCCATCAGTGTTTCTCTCACATTGATGTTTCCCTCCCTCTCTCTGAAGCAATTAAAAAAAAATGTCCTCAGGTGAGGATTAAAAAGGAAAGAAGGGAGGAAGGGAGGGAGGGGGGAGGGAGGGAGGAAAAGAAATTAAGTAACCAAGAATGATGAAAACATAAGAGATAAACCGTGCAAAGCTCACCCCCCACCACCCCGCACCCCCCAGAAAAAAGAAGAGAGGTGGTGGGAAGGACAGAGTTGGATTATGCCATTCCCCTGCCCACCACTAGTGGTCACTATCAGCCCAGGAAAGCTTGGTTGCCGTCTTTCTGGAGAGTTCCTGGACCCAAGAGGTGAGAGGAAGAGCCGGGGTTAGTACTAGTTATTTGAACGTATGGAGTGATTTAAATGTGAAATACCTGCATTTCATAGAACGTTGGAATTTATAACTTACATTTTAGAGCATTTAAATTTTCTGTTCTCCAAGTAAATGTAAAGCCTTTGATTGGAAAGCTCACTCCATTTGGTTTTTAATTCTCTTAATCTGCTACATTCCTTACCCCCACTTCAGACAGGAAATACCCACTTGGTGTTGAGTGCAGGGTTTTCCTCCTTTCCTTTGGTAAAGCTGCTGTCCATGGACTCCTCGGTGGATACGGTAATAAGTTAGCTTCCTGGTGTGAATAAAAGACATTTTTCTTGCTTTTAGCTACAGTGCTTTAAAGTGTTTCATTATAGATTAATTCCTTTGGGTTTTGCATTGCCCTGCCTGGTTCTTGCTTTTAAAATGTTAATGTCTCATAGGAGGATTTTTGCATTAAGTCATTAACCCCCTAGCCGGGAAGTTATTTTATCCTGAGACTTCAGCAACTGAGCGAGACAAAGAGCTTGGGATTCTGAAGAGAGCAGCCTTGCCCTGAAAGTAGGAACGGGGAGGGGGGTGGGGCGCAGCGGGAGGGAGGACTCGGGGAAGTGCCGGTAAATATCCCGTAGGACTTTCCAACCCTCTTCACCTTTTTCTGGCTGCAAGCACCTGTCCCAGGTGCTCATTAAATACAGGCTGGATGAATGAAAGACGGAACGAATGAACTTAGGCTGATCCACTGTGGACTTAGGCATCCCGTGGACAGAGCTTGGGGGCATGGTATCCACTGGGCCTGTTGAACTCTGGAAGTCCCGGACCAAGCAAGGAAGTGCCGAATGGCTGGCGTGCTTGGTTTTGACTGGCTCCTAAATGCCCTCGCCCCCACTCTAGCTGCAGAACCTCAGGGGCAGTTTGGACCCCGCTTATGGTTGGTGGATGGGCGGGGCATGAAAATTCACCAACAGTCTCTTTGTCTTCCATGACCAGGACTAGGAATGACAGACGTAGGCTTTATCTCGTTTGCCTCTCTGGTCAGTTGATCTTGCCTCCCAGGAGTTCTGTGCTGGGAAAGATTCTGAAGCCCAGGGGGCCAGTCTCACAATCCACTTGCCCTGGCTGCCCTGGTTCGGGATGGGGAAGCTGCGCCTTTGTCAGAGCCTGACTTGGGAGGGCTGATTTTGCCTTGTCTCCCTCTTTCTTTAGGGACCCCGTGGGAGCCTGGCCCGGGAGCCGGGATGGCCACCCGCCGAGCCTTGCTGACGTGCCTGGGACTGCTTCTCTTCCTGTCCCCGGGGGCACAGGCCCAGAGCCATGTCCCTCCTGGCTGCAGCCCGAACCTCAACCCCCTCTACTACAACCTGTGTGACCAGTCTGGGGCTTGGGGCATCGTCTTGGAGGCCGTGGCCGGGGCGGGCGTCGTCACCACTTTTGTCCTCACCATCATCCTTGTGGCCAGCCTCCCCTTTGTGCAGGACACCAAGAAGAGGAGCCTTTTGGGGACCCAGGTGTTCTTCCTACTGGGGACCCTGGGCCTCTTCTGCCTCGTGTTTGCCTGCGTGGTGAAGCCCGATTTCTCCACCTGTGCCTCTCGGCGGTTCCTCTTTGGCGTCCTGTTCGCCATCTGCTTCTCCTGCCTGGTGGCCCACGCCTTCGCCCTCAACTTCCTGGCCCGCAAGAACCACGGGCCCCGGGGCTGGGTGATCTTCACCGTGGCTCTGCTGCTGACCCTGGTGGAGGTGATCATCAACACGGAGTGGCTGATCATCACGCTGGTCCGGGGGGGCGGCGAGGACGGCCCCCTGCGCAATGGCAGTGCCGGCGGGGCTGCGGCCTCCCCCTGCGACATCGCCAACATGGACTTCGTCATGGCGCTCATCTACGTCATGCTGCTGCTGCTAGCCGCCTTCACGGGGGCCTGGCCCGCCCTGTGTGGCCGCGTCAAGCGCTGGCGTAAGCACGGGGTGTTCATGCTGCTCACCACGGCCACCTCCATCGCCATCTGGGTGGTGTGGATTGTCATGTACACCTACGGCAACCGGCAGCACAACAGGCCCACCTGGGACGACCCCACGCTGGCCATCGCCCTCGCCGCCAATGCTTGGGCCTTTGTCCTCTTCTATGTCATCCCTGAGGTGTCCCAGGTGACCAAGGCCAGCCCGGAGCAAAGCTACCAGGGAGACCTGTACCCGACCCGCGGCGTGGGCTACGAGACCATCCTGAAAGAGCAGAAGGGCCAGAGCATGTTTGTGGAGAACAAGGCGTTTTCCATGGACGAGCCCGCCTCGGGTAGGCCGGGGCCCCTCCCCCTCCTCGTCCGCGTCCTTTGCTGCAGGCCTAGGGGCTGGTCTCGAGCAAGGTGGTTGAGATTTAGCTATAAAAAAAATTTATTTCTTTTACTATAGTCACGTAATTCGTGAATATATTTTCACCATAAAATTTCAAACATTACACGTAAAAAATTTCTCCCAACTGTTTCGCCAGTTCTACCTGGTTCCTTCCTGTTCCATCCCCAGAACTGACTGGTATTTGAATCAGTGCTGTTGATCGGTATTTGATCTCCAGGCTCCTCAGTTGCCTCATTTATAAGATGAGGATGAGAGTGGGTCCCGCCACAAAGGATGCTAATGAGTGTTGATTAATGTATGTACCTGGCGCTCGGCAGGTGCTCTGGAAGTTTTAGCTGTTGGCTGTGTGCATTACGATTATTTTATGATCATTACCGTTTTCCTTCCAGAACTTGTTTCTCTATTAAGCACATATCCCTAGTCTTCTTGTTGTTGTTTTTTAAAGTCTTTTCAGTTCATTGATTTTAAAGAGAGAGAAACATCGGTTTGTTGTTCCACTTACTGATGCATTCATTGGTTGATTCTTATATGTGCCCTGACCGGGAATCAAACCCACCACCTTGGTGTATCGGGACCATGCTCTAACCTACTGAGCTACCCGGCCAGGGCTAACCTTTTTTCTTTTTAATAGAAGCGCTCATGCTTCATACCAATCTAATAAACAGCGCCCACTACCCAGCCGGCTGGTCCCCAAGCTCCTGCCCAGGCTCATTATTCACAGAACAGGCTTTCTTGGCAGCTCAGTGGTCGGGCTGAGGACACTGGGTCGGCGGAAGAGGCAGGAAGGGGAGCGAAGCCTTCACTGTGGCTGCCAAGCGCTCCTGCCCTGCCGCCCCCAGGAAGTGGCGTGGGAAGCAGGAGCGGAGACTCTGGGAGAAGGAGTCTTTCCCTGGCCTTTGTAAATTGTGAGGACCACTAGCATTTTTCAGTGTGTCCCCAGGCATGCTCCCCTCGCCCGCTGGCTATAGCCCGGCCGCCCGACTTGACCCAGAAAGCCAGAGGTGCAGGCTCAGAGCCCTGCCCCGGCCCCAGGCTGTGCTGATGAGCTCTCTGGGGGCTGAAGGCGTTACCTGCCCGATTCAAGTGCCAGCCCTGGGGCCTGTGCCAGAGGTCCAAGCCAGAGGCCGGGGAAGTTCCAGAACCTGAGAACGGGCTCCCTACCTCGTCTCTACAAATTGAGGGAGGGCCTGTAATCTCTGCTGGGGGAGGGGGGAAGGAGCGACCTTTGTCCTGCCAGGCACTGACCTTCGGTCTGCCCCCACATGGCCCCTGGGCAGCACCGGTTGCGCGTGCGTGGCCGGGGGTGCCATCGGCGAGGCCGGCGGGGGAGAGGGGCTTGCGGGCCCGTGTTGGGAGGCGCTCCAGCGCCCGACTTCTGCCCTTACCCGCCTGTGCGTGTCGGGGCCAATGGCTCCCAGCCTTTGTCCTCTCAAGGCTAATACTTCTGGGGCTGTGAGAGTTTTTTCCTTTATTTATTTATTTTTCCAAGTGGAAAAATCAATTGAGCCGAGCACGTAGAAGCCCTATGTAGTCGTGATCCCTCAGAGTTGTGGGGCCATCGGCCTGCCAGAGACAGACAGACAGTCAGACAGACACCCAGTGCGCCTGCCCTCCAGGCCCAGCCCGCTTCTGGGCCCCGGGTCAGTCGGCAGGTTTCTCAGACACCTGGGGAGCGCCCGCGGGGCGGAACAGGGCGGGACACCGGCATCCTGAAGGAGGCGTGGGGAAGCGTCCTGGGGCTGAGAATAGGCCTGGAGCCTTGCCGGGGGCCGCAGGACAGAATGTGCGCTCAGTGCCCCCCGGGGACTGTGGGCTGTGGGGCGCAGGGAGCTGGCGCCCAGCCCTGCCCCCGGGCTGTGGGGTCTCTGCTGTGTTTACCCCAGCGCTTGGCGGCTGGCCCGCGGCCGGAGAGGCCAGAGCTGGAGGCTGGCCATCTTGGAAGGTGGCTGAAGGCCCAGGTGCCCCTCGTGGCCTCTGGCCCCTGAGGGCGGATGGGGATGTGAAGGTTGCTGACAGGAGCGTTTTTCTAAACTGACGGATGAAGGGGGTGTTCCCACGCACAGGAAAGCCCGAGGGGAAGGCAGGCGGAGTCCTGGCTCCCCGTGCACCCGAACCAAGGGGTGTGGGGTCTGGGGGCCCCCTACACAGCCTTGCCCCCAAGCCAGCCACCCCGGGCCAGGCTCCCTCCTGGGTTAGGAGTTACCCCTGGGCAGCCTGGCCTCTCCCCCTCTCTCTGCCCCAGGAAGCCTTGCTCTCAACTGAGAGAGGGAACTGAGAGCCTGGCCTTCAAACCTCTCCTGTGTTTCTTTGCAGCCAAGAGACCAGTGTCGCCGTACAGTGGGTACAATGGGCAGCTGCTGACCAGCGTGTACCAGCCCACCGAGATGGCCCTGATGCACAAAGGCCCGGTGAGTGGGGCCCCGAGTCCCCAGGACCCTGCTGGGAGCCACGATGCTCAGCCTCTGTGGGCGGGTGGAGGGCCGTGCGGGGCAGGGTGCAGGTGGCAGAAGGCAGGCGGCCCCATTTGGGGAACTCAGAGCCCCAGCTCCCAGTGCCCTTTTCCTGGAGTCAAGGTGCCCACAGTCTTCAGTTACACTGTGGTGGGACCTGCCCGCCCCGTGCCACTGGGTGTCACGCACTAACCAGGACTGCGTGCTGTGGAGAACGCTACAGGGAGCCGCCAGCTTCCCCTACAGAAGCTTGGGGAGGGGGGACAGAGGAGGGCCTCAGCCGGCTAGGGGTCTGTCATTCCGGGTGGCTCCAAAGGGACAGAGGACCAAATAGCAGGTGTGGGTAGGTATCCACGCTTGCGCCACAGCTGTCTCGGGGGAGGCTCCCCTCTCCTCATGGGCGGGCGGCAGCTCTCACACCCCCCTGGGCCCTGGAAACCAGATGCTCCATCAGCCAAGGGAGGGGGCGGGAACAGGAAGAAGGTGGGTTAGATTCACTCACTCCTTATATGTTCCTCCTCCCGGGCTGGCAGACGCCGCGGGGTGGGGGTGGGGGCAGAGGGCAGTGACCGCCTTGGCAGGGTGCTGGGAACAGGAAGGAGGGCGGTCAGCGCGGTGGTGTTCTCATGCCCTCCCGCTGGGAGCCCGGGTCAGGGTGAAGCTAAGGTCTCTGAAATGTCCAGCCGCGGCCCTTCCGTCTGCCTAAGCCTGAACTGCGGCCACCCGAGCCCCAGGCTCACCACCCCTCACTCCCCGGGTGGGGGGAGGGAACCCGGATTAACACAGCGATTCTCCAAACGACGCCCCAGACTGTCCGCGCCACCATCACCTGGCGTCTTGCTAAACACGCAGAGCAGGCGGGGCCCGCGCAGGGATGGAGCCGGTCCCTTCTGTGGCGTCAGCTTGATCATTTGGAATCTGTCTCACCCACCCCAGCTGCTAAGCACTTGCCAGCCACCCGTCCGCCCCTGGGTGTGGGTGTGGCTGAGACAGTCCCAGGGACTGTCTGTCCCACGCCGGGTCCCAGAACACCCACGGCGAGGTCCCAGCAGCCTCCACGGCAGGGGGCATGGTGGCAGCTCTCTCCCTCGCAAAGGCAGGTGGGCCAGGAGCTCACCTCTTCTCCAGGCCGGGAGCGGGGACCCTCGGGACCCTCTGCACCCCTCAGCCATGACCCCTGCACAAGAACAGGACCACTGCAGCTCCCACCCGGTTCCAGGCAGCGCCATGGGGTCATAGGTCTCCAGTGAGGCTCCTGGATAAGAAATGCGAGGGCACAGCCAGCGCCTGGCGCAGGCCTGTCGGTGGCCAGGCGCACCCACGGCGAGGACGCTGTTGGGGGTGTTACGGCTAATAGGCGGGCTCGGAGAGGAGTCTTGGGGAAGGGGGGCTGGGAGCTCCAGGGAGGTGAGGGCCATGCCCTGTGCTTCACCCAACGTTGGGCTCAAGGTGTGAGGGACACGAGGGGACTGAGAAGAGGCTCCTTCCGAAAGGGCCAAGTGATGCCCAGGAGCGTCCTTGCGGCCTCGCCCCCGGGCCCAGAGGCCTGGCCCTCTGCGGGGAGAGAAGGGGCTAGAGGTCAGAGGCTACCCCTCCGTGTCCAGAGACAGCGTCGTCCTCCCAGCCGGACATGGGGACCCGGCCTGGAGTGGGGAGGGGAGCCGGCAGGCAGAGCCCCGCAGGAGGCTGGTGCTGGCAGAGCCCGGCCGCGAGACCCCCTGCTCTCCCTTCCAGTCCGAAGGACCCTACGACGTCATCCTCCCGCGGGCCACCGCCAACAGCCAGGTGATGGGCAGTGCCAACTCCACCCTGCGGGCTGAAGACATGTATGCAGCTCGGAGCCACCAGGTGGCCACGCCGCCAAAAGACGACAAGAACTCTCAGGTCTTTAGAAACCCCTACGTGTGGGACTGAGGTGGCCGGCAGGTGCGGGGAGGGCCCTCGGGGCCTGGCCTGGGCTCTCCTGCTCCCTGTGCCCCGCGCCCCCCGCCCCCCAACGGCTCAGGGCAGCTTGTGCCTTGGCTGGGAGGCTCCCCTGTTGGCCAGTCTTTGGGTGGGCATCCCAGGTGCCCCTACCCGTCCTCAGTGTTTGTGGGGTCGAGGAGCCCACCCCGGCTTCATGCCAGGGTCGCCTCCCGCCAAATAGTGTTCTTCTTGGGGTGGTGGCCTGTCAGCACCTGCCTTCTCTGGAGTCTGGAGAGATTCCTGCAACCTCGAGAGATGTCACAGGCGTGCTCTGTCCTGGGTCTTGCTCCTCTGTGAGGAACAGGGTGCCTAATAAACACACTTCTGCTTTATTAGCCCTTCCTCTGGGGATGTCATTTCTGACCCGGCTCTTGGTTTTCCAATGGCCTACGGGTGACACCTTCCTCCCCCTCCCTCCACGTCCAGCTCACGCGAGAGCTGCCAGGAGTTCTCCTTCTGGGCAGCGAGGTAGCTGACCCCCGCCCCCCCCTGCCCAGTGAAGGATTCTTCAGCTGAGCCCGCGTCTCTGTCCTGTGTGATCAGAATGAACTTCGGGGTCAGCTCCTGTCTGAGGGCTAGTCGGACACCTGAGCTCGCCTGAAATCGGGCAGCTTTCCTCTGGGACCCCCTCAGCAGGGCGGGGCGGGGGGCGCAGCGGGGGAGGCGGACGTGCCAGCAGGCATTTCTGCAGCGGATGTGTGTAAGGGGTGGCGGGTTAATAACGTCAGCCTCTCTCGATGGGGGTGGTGATCTGAATCTTTCAGGGGACAAAGCGGAGGGCCGCTCTGCTCCGTGCTCATGGGTCGCTTTACCAAGCAGGTTTACGAGGGTGCAGAGCGTCAGGCCACGTTCAGGCTGGTTTCACTCCTGGGCGAGAATTGTTAAAATGCCACTTTGCTCACTGCTGGATGGGAAAAGCCTTTCCACCCCAGCTCATTGTCATCCTCGTGGCTGCCCCAAAAGGTGGGCTGGACAGTCGTCTCCTTTCCGGAGTCAAAAATCCCAGAACTGAGACCATTCTGGGGTCAGGCTGGGCCTCAGGGGAAGTTAGGGCTGTGGCTCCCTGGCCTCCTCTTTCAGGTCAGCAAACTGCCCACCGAGTCCGCACAGCCTTCAGACCTGGCCTGACCGCGACCGGCCGTGTTCCCGAGACCCTGACTTCCCGTGGCCCTGGGCTGCCCGCGGGCCCCAGGGGCCTGGGCGCAGGCGCAGAGCAGTGTCCTGACCTTTGGGCCTGGTCCGGGCCCGCCCCTCCCAGTCTTGGGAACGTTTCTGCCCAACTAGCCAGAAGCTATTTTCTGATACCGGTTGTAGGGGAGAAAAAAAAAAAAAACCTCTGCTGGAAGGGAGTGAAAGGTTGCCGGAAGAAAAAAATGAAACTGTGCCCAAGCTCTTCCTTTCACGGCAGGTTGCACAGCCCCTTGGGGGCCCCAGCCCGGTTTTTAGTGTGAGCCCGCCCTTGGGCCCCGAGCAGCAGGGTCCCCTTTGACGGTTGTTCTTTCTGGTTACTTTAGGCTCAGTCCCCGCAAAATAAAACGAGATGGTAGACGCCCTGGTCCCTGGACTGCACGTCATCCTGACGTCCTCATCCCTCTGGGTCCCAGCTGGGCAGGGCCCAGCACCTTTCCCACCCTTGTCACTGGAGCTGGGAGGGCCTGGAGGCCACCGATCTGGAGCAATGGACCAAGTGAGGGGCCCTGTGACACCCCGAGGCTTGTGGCTGGGGCTCTAGGGCCGACCCCTACCTGCCCTGCCCGGCGTCTCCTGGGCCCCAAGTGACGGAGGCCACAAGGAGCTGCCTGCAGACCCGTCTGCCTCCGTCCCCCTCGTAGGGCCCTCCCCCCACATCATGGCCCCTGTGTCCTCATGCTGTGGCTGTCCAGATGGCCGTCCTCAGATGCCCCTGCCTTCACACCGTGGGCCTTCCTGGCCACCCTCAGTGTCCGGCATCAGCTGTCCCCCTCGGCACCTGGGTGAATCGAGGGCAATGTCCACTTGTCTCTGGAGCTGTGCCGTGGCGGAAGTTGGCCCTTGCCTTCATCACCGGGGCCTCCTGCCATCACCTGAGTGAACCCGGAAGGCCGCACGCGGGGCCAGAGCTCACGGAGGCCCAGACAGACATTGCTTCTCCGCATGGCCTGGGCGCCTGGGGGCCTGGACCCTGTGCCGCTCCACCCCATGCCCCTCTGCACTGCCACCCCACGCCGCCCCCTGTCAGTGAACTGGGTTCCATCAAGACACAAGACGGGTTGGGCTGCATTCTCAGGGACCAGCGAAGAGTCCTGGAGCACGTGGACTGAGGTCTAGGCCTCTTCCAGGACAGACCTGTGGGACTTGGGGACTCCCCTTAGAGAAATGGCATCCAGGACTGAACGTCGTCCCATTTCCTGATGGGCAGGGGCAAGGTTTCTGCCTCACCTTGGGCCCCTCCTCAGGCTGGTGCTGTACTCCTCACCCAGGCGTGCTCCAGGGGGCCCTGGCGCCACCCAGGGGAGCGGGGGACATCCGGGGGACCCGCATGATGCTGGTGCTGAGGACACAGGTGTGCACAGCTCCAGATTCGTGGAGACATCCCTATGGCATCATTGCCCTGGCTCTCACCTGCCCTCAGGTACCAGACAGAGCCAGCTCATCCGAGGGGGCTCCCCACATGTGCCCCTGCCGCTCAGGGCTTAGCCCAGCGTCACTTGCGGGCGCCAGGGAGAGGGTGCGGGTGAGAGCAGCGAGGGGAGTCAGGTGTGCCCAGCCCCGCCTTGTGGTCAGCCCCACAGCTCCAGTGTCACCCTCCTGCCCCCAGCAGCCTGTGCCTTTGTCACTGGAGCGTTTCTCCAGAGCTGAATGGGGTGAACAGACCCTGGAGATGTGAACAGGGCTCTACCCCCCAGCGTGACGCCCCCGGCCCCACACACCATTTACGATCTGTTGCACCGAGTTGCTCGGTTCCAAGCATAATGACCCTCTGACGGAAGGGAAGCGGGGAGCTCTGTGCACCTCGGACTTCGCCCGATCTAGGTTAGCAGCCCCAAGATCCCCCACAGTGAACAAAGGGACTGTCTTACTTTTGGAGGTGATAGGATCACGTGAGTCCTTGGCCGCGCCAAGTGGCTGCGGGGAGCAGCCTTCAGTGAATGTGGGTTTGTTCCCGGTCCCCTGGAGGCCCGCAGTGAGGCCAGATAGGGACGGGTCAGGTACGCCCTGTGGCCCTGCTCGCTCTGGTCCTCAGCCAAGTGGAGAGGAGAGAGAAGTGGTCCAGCTGCATCTCAAAGGAGCCTTGAAGGGAAGAAAACCTGTTGCAAGTAAGGCCAGGCCAACGTCTCGGTCAGTCTTACACCCATTCTTTTGGGACTCGAGCGCAAAGCAGAGTGCTTGGCACTTCATGGCTGCTCCGAAGTAAATGACCTTATTCTCCATTTGTGAGGAATTAACAATCACTGAATCACTACTACCACTTAAATCACTGTTCACTAAGAATTTGTCTGGGCTTTATTAATACATATTTTTAAAGTCATTTGTTTGTTTTCTAGACCAAGACAGGCTGTTGGATTCCAAGTAACTTCTTCCCCAGTTGGGAATTGATTCTAAGGGGAAATCAGGCCTTCTGAGCCAGCCCAGCCCCAGACCAGTGCCCCTCACCCACCTTACACGCCTGGGGGCGCAGGGATGGGGCGGGCGAGGGGGACAACCTTTATCATAGTCCTGTTGCTGCCTGGCCTGCTGGCGGTGGGGGCACCGCGCGGTGAAATCCTGGGCCCCAGGGCGGGTGTGCTGGGGCCAGGGTTGGGGGTGGCCTGTCCCTCCCCCGGGTCTGGAGGGCCTGCCAAGTGCCATTCCCAGTATTTGGTTTACACATGTGGTTCCCACACTTGGGTGAGGTTCAGGGCCCCTCACAGCTCATTTAGGAACCAGAAACAGGTTAAGTGACTTGCCTGTGATCACACAGCTTGTCAGGGTGGCTACTAGGGGCCTGTCCGCCTTGGAATCCATTCTCGCCAAGCCTGGTCACCAGCCCCGGGGATGCGCTGAGTCCGGCCCAGGGGGCTGGTGGCCCAGCTGCTTCCTGTCTGCTGTCTGCAGTCTGCACTGAAGCCTCCGGAAGCAGCAGCCCTGCTCCCAGCAGCCCGTGAATTATTTAGCATCTGCGCCAGCCCCGGCCCGGAACCGTCTGACCTCATCCTCCTGGGGCTCCAGGCAGCTCTGACCTTGGTTTCCTTGCAAGGATGCTGGGGGTCCCTCTGTGGGAGGTGGATGATTGGGGGCGGGGGGTATCGGTACCCGCAGGGAAGGGGGAAGGGGCAGAGGCCAATTGCCTTTGTAACAGGAGGCAGCTCCGCAGAGGAGAGAACCGACCCAGGAATCCGCCGGCTGTGGGTACAGTACAGGTCCCAGCTCTTGGTAGCTTTCGTGACCTTGGGTGGCTCTCTTGACGCCTCAGTTTCCTCATCTGTGAAGTGGAAGGACTGACACGCCAAGTTCATATTTCGTAGTCTAGCCCCTTAAGGTCACTCCTGAAAGTCAGGGCCAACGCAGCGCATTCGGGAGCTGCATGCCCTGTGTTTCCCGCCCGGGCACACCGGTCTCCGGGCCAGATCTCACCAGCCTTCTGCCTGCTGGGGTGCCACATCCTCCCTGTTGTCTGCGGTCCCTTGTGTACCAGGGCCCAAGCGGGCAGGATGGCAAGTGGCCAGGATCGGAGAGAGGCGCGTTGGGCAGGCAAAGCCTGCTTCCTGCGGGGTGAGACCTGCTTATTCCTAGCCCTGACCTTGGGCAGCTCCCTCCCCCGCCTCAGGTTCTCCGTCTGTGAAGTGAACCTTGAGCTTCCAGCTCTGCCCAAGCCCAGGCATTGGTGTCCCCAGCAGTTGGGAGGGACACCAAGTGACAGGGCTGTGCTGAGGGTGTGCACAAGCAGCCTGACTCATGTCCGGAGCCGAGCCGGGGTGCTCAGCACCCTTGTCAGGGCAGGAGCCGAAAAGGTGTGTGCCCAGGAAGAGGAGCTGGTTGGTCCCATGCTGCCTAAATGTCGGGCTAAGGGTCACCATCCCCAGGCTGGCCTGAGAGGGCTGTAAGGCAGCCCGGAGCAGGGGCCCAGGCCTGCCCCCGCCGACCCCTGGGCTGGCGGGGGCCTCTGGCTCCAGACCCAGGGGCCCGGAGTAGGGCACACTCCGCGCCTGCTCTTAACGTCCCACTGTGGCGGTTCTCAACCAGGAGCCTGCCCCCAGGGGACGTTGGCCATGTCTGGATACAATCTGGGATGTCACCATGAAGAGGGCGGTGGTGCTGTTGGCATCTAGGCTGCTGCTCCGCGCCCCACGGAGTGCAGGGCAGGCCTCTCCACAGAGAGGGCTCAGGCCCCACACACAGCAGGGGGAGGCTGAGAGCCCCCCCTCGAGCCTGGCCCCAGGCAGCGGTGGGGCTCCCTGGCCGCTGGCCCCCGACGCCCACCCAGAGCTCGCAGAGAGCCCAAGGGGCCTCCCAGGAGATTCCCTTCTTGGGAACTGGGACCTGCTACGTGCTGGGCCCAGCGATACAGGGATGGACGTTGTAGGGCTGGCGGGGTCTGGAGAAAGGTCACAAACGATGGAAGTCCAAGGCGGGAGGCTGAGTGGAAGGCCCAGGTCTTTGGGGTGCAGAGAAGGCACGGCCACCCGCCTTCACTCGGCGGGAGGAGAGAGCACAGGCCGGCTGGCCTGCCAGCCTGCGGCGGGGCAGCCCCCGAGGCAGCCGTCCCGTCGCCGGCTTGTCCCGCCTGCTCACCCCGGCTGCAGCCAGATCAAGTTGCAGGAGTATCAGCGGGGCTTGGGCTGGGGGCGGGCGTGGGCCCTGGCTGGAGGGGGCTGTTCGCTGGGACCAGGCAGACGGAGGACAGGAAGATTTTTACTGTTTTCTCCTCCCTTTTTCTCATTCTTTCTTTTTTCACAAAGAACAGCAGCCCCCCTCCCCGCCCCATCAGCCACTGCCCCACCCTTGACAGGGCCAGCCTCACAGCAGGGCCTGGCCACACGCAGCCCCTCCTCCTCTCTCCAAGAAAAACCGGCGCTTATACCCTGCCTAGCTTTCCAGTGCTGTCTCCCCTTGGGAGGATTTTTGAGGAGGTTGAGGATGGGGGTGGGGGGCTTGTCCATGCATAGGACCCCTACGCCCACTCCCACCCCCACCTCGCTAAATAATCGCCCTTCTGCGAAGACTGAATCAGGTCAACCTTTGTAGAGCAGATCGGCGCCCGGACGCCATTTGCAGTTTCTCTGTATGTGGCTCATAACACGTGCTGTGTCCGCAGGGCAGACAATACAGACATGGGAATAACATTTGGCTCATTCATTCATTCATTCATCCGTTCTTCATCAATATTTATTAAAGGCTGCTCCCTGCCGTCATTCTAATTGACATCAGTTCCCACACCGAACTCTCTTCTGGGGCCCAAGTCCATCTGGCACACGATTCCACCTCCTCCAACCCGTGAACTTCATTTCCCCTGGTCATTTCAGCAGCATGTCACCCTTCCCTGGGAGCAACCACCACTCTCCCCTCTCTGTGAGTTCTATGGCTACTTTACCGTATCAGGATGGCCTTGGGCTGCAGGACAAAGCTAGCCCCTGCGTGTGCCTGTGTCCCCGGACCTGGCGGTGGGTGGGGAGTGAGGGCTTACTTGGGAGAGCTGGCATCGGACTGGAAAGTGGAGCCAAAGGGGACCGCTGAGTTGGGATGAAAGCGTCTCTCCCTGGGTCATAATCACAAAGGCCAAGAGGGGAGTTTCTGAGTCGTTACAAGGTCCGTTCCCCATGGGGACCAGGGAGC